TTTTAAACCGTTACCGACTAACTAACATTATGTGGGAGGTTATCTCAAAATGTAAACTGTTACACGCCTGCAGAGTGGGTTGCTCTGGTTTTGCTTGCCATTTCACATTTTAAACAAACGGACTGTGCAGCTGATGGTAAGTGGCCAATGACGCTCATGAACTTTGGGAACTCTAAAAGAGCAAGTAGGTACACTACCGGCACCTCTTAAAACAGTTTTTGCTTATGAGCCTAAAAGGTAGCTTTTTACTTTAGTATTTTTTGGAAATCATCTGCTTCCATTTCTCAATTTTCAAGCCAAAGCTTTCTACAATCAGTAAATTAGAATGTGTGATTTTTTTTATAAAAAAAATCTTACTATTATACTATACTTCTTATTTTGTCGACTCACAAAACAAACAAAAAAATCAATACACATGGACATTCTATTTTTAAAGCATTAAAAAAACAAACGTCAAATATTTACGCGCCAAATTACATATGACAGCTAGATAAAGGGAACGCTCCTTTTCACGGAACCACTAATTTGGGTTAATTAGCGATGACCGACTGACGTGTCCTATGGAGTTAACAAAACAATGAAATTGCTTGGTGACATATTTCTACAGGTTTGTATTCCATGGTGACAATTGAAAAGGGTTCGGTTATCCAATTAATAGGATCTATAAATAAAAATGGTTTCTTATTTTTCTTAGTCTCGGGAACGGTTTGATCGTTTTTTTTATTTTTTTTTATTTTCAGGACAAACGCGTCACAGTGATTTAAAAACGTTCAGAAATATGTTTTTGCGTATTGTATTGTATCTATTTTTGGTGATTTGGTGCGTATTCGGTTTATTTATTCTGTTTTTTATAAGTATTTCTGTTTGCTAATTGACAATCGTTCAGTATTAATTTCATATCGCTAAGCATTTTCATACTACAAGTTTTTTTTTCCTAATTTATTCAATCTACGAGAACTCCAACACCAGGATACGATACAAAGACTAAAACAGAGTAACATTTTAGCGTCCTAAACAGGTTCAAAAGTAATGCAATTAATTGCCGGCCCATCGGACGATGGAACCGGTTTTACGCAACAATGTATCATCAACTCATCCAGCTGGTACATCCTTAAAAATCATAACTGGAAGTCTGGAAGTAGGTATCTACAATAGATATAAAACTAAAGAATTACCTTTGGTCAAAGAGGTTGACATAGATTTCCAAATATGCGTAAAAACAGTTTAGACCACATACTGTTTGTTACGTTCATAGATAATAGGTACCTAAGTCTTTTCGTTTTTATTTTGTTATGGGATTATGGGGGCTAACGATCAGCCTGGTCGCCTGACGGCAAGCGATTAGAGCAATCCATTGCTATCCGCAACACCAAAATTGGGTACTTATCAACTAGTCAAATTCAATACTTTTTTCGAACTGTCATAAACGACAGTTTTTAATGAATTTTGTACGAGATTGTGTATTGTGACGTCACGTTTTTTTTTTGAGTCACGTTTTTCTTAAAAAAATGCTGGAAAAATATTAAAACACTAGAATATCTGGTTAAATAATGGAGCACTTTTATCAAAATAATAGAGGTAGATCACTTGGTGCTCTTCTACCCGATTTGGTTGCGAAGGCCAGTTTCTGCTACACATCTATCAGAGTGACTAGTTTTGTGCATCCCCATCCATCGGTTATCTGCAACGATCGTCTACTATAATGGACGACCTTCGTTTATTTCCCCAAAGTCTGCAGTACGCTGCTCATACGTACCATTACTTTTACTTAAGCTATCAAACATAATGTTCAGAACCACTAAGTAGGTAATAAAAAAGTTGCAATAAACTTTGACATATGCTAAATTTATGACAAGTTACCACATCTCCCTAAAATGTTCTAATATGACAAAATACACACGTTCAGTGACTAGCGATACCTGTGCAATTTCTTCTGTATTTCTTCAATTATTCTGTTCACACACCAAACAACAAATCAGTAGAAATCGCATGTCTAGTTAGGGCAAACTATGTTAAACATCCTCGTTCATATTTTTACACGATCCTAGTCGAAAATTGAACACTGTTGATATTATTGTTTATGTCTTAGCTATGTTTAACTCAATGGTCTTAGCTCGCATCATGTAGGCTTTATTATCATTCCGATAGTTTATGCGTCTATTGTCTTGCCCCTGAAGTGGACAGAAACTATATAGAAACAGTATTTGTGTGTTTCATTCGTTGTTAATGCAACCGTTGATGATGTTTTGATGAGGAACTTTCTTTTATGGAATAGCAGGCAACCGAGCAGACGGATCACCTGATGGTAAGAGATCAGCGCCGCCCATGGACACCCGCAATACCAGAGGAGTCACAGGTGCGTTGCCGGCCTTTTAAAAAGGAGTCCGCCCTTTTCTTGAGTAAAGTAAGTATTAGTTATCATTTGGAATTGAGACTTAAAATCTTTGGATCCGGAAATGTCCTAATAGATAGTATTGCGATCAGCAGCTTTCTTTTTCAGTTTCTGTCAACGATCCCAAGCCACTTAGCCTTGGCCTTCACCAACCTCAAACTCTCGTCAACGAAAAGAGGCTTTTGTTTAGCAATGGATAGCTTCTGGCTGATGATTATTGAAAGCGTTGACCTTTGGCACATGTTTCTCAGTGCGATTGCATAATTATATTGTTTATAAAAACAATGGCGATATATTGAAGAAGGGCCAAATCAAAAGTACCCTTAACCGACGAGCATGCATGAAAACATTGATGACTGTTGAGGAAGCGAAAGAGGTAGAGGTATGTAAGAATCGTAGTAATTGGCGTCCCATAGTCTCTGCCTACACCCATGGGAGACAGACAAGAGGTTATGTATGTATGCACAAAGAGATAGACATATTAAGATTAATAACTTCGGCAGATGGCTACCTAGTCAATTTAATAAGTACCTAGGTACATACAAAGGATAAGCATTGTCGTTAAACATGGCGTCGATAGTTTATAATACGTATATTATAGTTAACATAAACAATAGGTCTCTGTTAATTTAATATTGGGTTTTCAATTGGTATTTCAATTCCTGGTGGAAGTCAAGGGGTAAGGCAACTGGCTAATTACCTATTTCAATGTAGGTACCGTGTACTAATACAATTTAAGGAAATAAAATACATACGTTTAATTGTCTACCTTTATTTGACCGGTACGTTCGATACCAGTATAGGTATGGTAGGCACCTTAATATTATTTATTTTCTTTTTGTTAACTATACGTATTAATAAAAGCTCGGAAAATGTGCGTTTTCTCTAAATCTCTGCTTATTCCTGAGTAAAAATAGGCGTGATGATACATTTCTTGGATATAATGATCGTCATATCCTTCTGTGACTGTACCCACGCAGTTATAACAATGCTTTTTACAGATGAATGACACTAGACGCACTGGATTATTAATTGTAATTAATCTAGGTATTAAAATGTTAGTGACATGTTTATTATGTATCATTAGGCGTGCCATGGCTTCGTAAAATGACAAAGGCGTGTCACATTGCGACGCGGAAAACCGAAAATACAGCGCGCCTCACCCAACCCAAACATAAAAGCAGAAATTGAACACATTCAGCCATTTTATATACTTAAATTTAAAAATGGAACGTTTGATTTTTTTTAATACAAAATACTGCGTTCACTCTGTCTTTTCTTTTTATGTTAAAAAATACGCATTGAAACCTTCATGAAAGATCTTTTTTCATCTCCGTTTTTTCCCTTGTTATAAAGAGGCGACAGACACAATAGCGAACGGATAAGGGTTGCTTAATTAACGAAACCATTCATTTTGCTTTAATTAAAACGGTAAATACTTTAGTACAATTTTTCTAATTCTATTTATTGCTTATTGGGTTAAATAAGACAGGTAATGATAAGGGGACTTTTAATAATGAAATTCGACAACGATATAAAAATTATAAACCTCTGTTTATTAATAAGACAGAGTTTAAGATCCTACATATCAACTAGGCATGTTAAAATAGTTTAATTTATAGCCGAAATAAATCATATTTATTAAGTAATAAAATGTTTTATTGTTGTATACGGTTCCTTAACGATTTATATCCGCCTATGAAATGTCCAGCCTACGTAATTTCCCGCCAACGTTTTACTTAAAACGGGAACGCAGGAAATCGCATCAGCCGGCATTTCGAGACGACTGCATCCTATAACTACGAAAATGCACCCAGACATTTGTATAGAACACTGCCTCCCCCCATACGAACCTAGCGATATATATAACTTAGGCACGCTTGCCATGACTAAGGGGCACAACATTGCTCGTTCATACATCGATGAAATAAAAAAAAATAAAAAGCACTTACTTTTCTTGGTCCATTCTGCACAATGGTTTCATATTCTAAGCCTTCCGACATCATTCTCACAATTTATTTAAATCACAATTGAACACTAAAATTATTTTTGGTATTTTTACCGGTTTTAATACACTAAGGCTGTATATTTTTACGTAAAGACAGCGGAGCGTTCGAACGGCGTACCGGCACTAAATCTTACAGAGATAAATCACTGTTTCCATTAAGTATTTGATGGGAAATATTGTTCGAATGAAATTATAACGTGGTGCCGGCGGTCGGCCCGGGTGCTGCAACCAATATCACGCCCACAGCCTCCCTCGCTCTCCAGTGAGTGAATACATACAGATACATAGACATAGAAAGTAGATAAACATCCAATACCTACCTACGTGTTAAATGATAGGTACGACTTGTATGCGACGATTTTATTTGTCTCAAACGTTCCGTGTCCCCGTTTTTATACTTCTTTAAGTTAAGTCTTGGAATAAGATGCTTATAAGAAAACGTGTATGATTTACTTTTTTCAGAATTTTTCTGCATTTTAACGTAGTATATAACTATCTCCATTTAAAACATATTTTAATAAGAAACTAACTTTTACTAATCGGAACGCAGCTATTTTATTATCTATCTACTCACTGTCAAAGAACTGTCAAATTTGACAGATGAAACAATATTTCAAAACAAAGCACGCTGATTTGTTAAAAAATCGCTTAAAATTATCACTTTTATTTGTTTAACTACAACATTTAGAAAACATACGTAGTGTATAAGTTATAAAAATCAAGTAAGTAAATCATCATCGACAGCAACGCCGCAAAACCGTTGAGTCAACATGGAAGAAGGGCTGAAAAATCTGAAAATACTAAAACAAGGAGCTGAAGCTAAGTTGTACATTTGTAACTATCTTGGAAAACCAACGCTAATCAAAGAGAGATTCAAGAAAAAGTATCGCCATCCAGATTTAGATGAGCACATAACCAAAGATCGGATTAAAAACGAGGCGCGTTCCATAGTCCGGTGTAAAGCATTCGGTGTACGAACTCCAGCATTATATTTGGTAGACTTCCACAGATCACGAATTTATATGGAGCACTTAGAAAAAAGTATTACAGTAAAAGATTTTATCATAAAACACGTCACAGATGATACAAAACCAAGATTAAACACTGTAACAGAAATGATTGGACAAAATGTGAGAAAATTACACGAAAATAATATCATACATGGAGATTTGACGACCTCAAATATGTTGCTTATTCCTAAATCTGGGAATGAGGAGCAGGACTGGCTTAGTGGGGATTTAGACCTGGTGATGATTGACTTTGGACTGTCCTATATTGGTACTAGTGCTGAAGATAAAGGAGTAGACCTCTATGTCCTCGAGAGGGCAATAATAAGCACTCATAATGACTACCCAGACTTATTTAAAGCTATTTTAGACGCCTACAAAAAGCAATGTAAGAAGAAAATTGAAGAGACTATTAGCAAGTTTGAAGAGGTTAGGGCTAGAGGGAGGAAGAGAACTATGGTTGGATAGTTTTAAGCAATAAATGTTTTGTTTTGTATGTTCTTGTTTTATTTTGGAGGATACCTATTTACTGAACTCTGCAAACAGATACTTTACAACAAAATACAGTACGACATAAAAGAGAAGAAATTAAATATTTTGGAACTAACATATTGATTTTTTCTGGCAACACTTAAAGTAAGTACGGGAGCTGTCAAACTCTTCAATCATAAGTTGTTATTACGTGATAATTCTGTTTTTTGAGTAGTTTTTCTTATTTGTGAAGGCGAAAGAAGAATAATCATGCATGCATCAAATTATATATAAAGTTTTCATGCGATGTATGGCAGAATTCCAAGCTGGGAAACTGCTAACCGATTTGGACGATGTTTATAACCGCACAGCTGATTTTACTGGTAAGTAACTAAAAAAGTTTCATTAAACAGTTATTACAAGTCATTATTACATTCAGAGAGCTTATTTTTCATGCTAACAATTACTTACAATAGTTATTGTTTATCGTTTTTGAGGTTATGCTATGATAAACAAAGGCACTGTATTTATAGTGCGACTAAACAATCTTGAATTAAGGAAAGCAAAAATGTTACGTATTTAATCCCTATAACAACAATACAACAATTTGTATTAATGAGACCAAATTATTTGTTTTTCTTTTTTTAATTGTATTAAACATATTTTCTATGAGACTTAGTCACACAGTGCTGATAGTAGTGAAGATAAAATTATGAGAAATACTTTCATTCAAGGGCCTTATTTAACTTTTTTGTTTTATCTTGTTGGTTCTAGGTGTTTCTGTAAGCACAGTGCGAAGAATTGTGCAGCATGGCGCCGCAAGTGGTGGAAAATTCTCGACGCCAGCTAAACACAGAAAGGGTCGTCCTTCAAAGGTTTTAGATGACTTTGACGTATGTGCTATAAGACAAAAGGTTCATTTTTTTATACTGTTAAGAAAGAAGTACCAACCATAGGAAAATTACTAGCTCAATTAAAGGAAGATATAGACTATGACGGAAGTCGAGAACACTTGCGAAAACTCCTTAAAAAGATTGGATTTCTATACAAAAAATGCAAAACTAACAGACAAGCTTTGATTGAAAAACCTGTTATTGCTCATAAGAGAGAACGGTATCTAAAAATAATAATGGATAATAGAAATTTACCTGAAGAGCTTCAAAAAGACATAATTTATTTAGATGAAAGCTACATCCACTCCAGCTACAAACTTAAAAAATGCTGGCAGTCACTTGAAACTCAAGGTTTTACGACAGACATATCAAAAGGAAAGAGATGGATTATAGTTCATGCTGGTACTGCAAAGGGCTTTGTACCTAATGCTCTTTTAATTTTTAGCGGTGTAAATAAACAAGAAGATTACCACTCCGAAATGAACCAGCATAATTTTACCAAATGGGTGAAGGAAAAACTTATCCCTAATGTCACAGAACCCTCAATCATTGTGATGGACAATGCACCTTATCATTCCGTTGTTCTGAATAAAGCTCCAACATCAGCAAGTAAAGTCAATGAAATACGATTATGGCTTTTAGAAAATAATGTGCCTTTTGATGTAGATTTAAGGAAACCTTCTCTTTTGGAGCTGGTTAAGAAACACAAACCTGAGCCAGAATATGAGATTGATGTGATTCTAGGTCAACACGGTCACACAGTGGTAAGACTGCCACCATACCACTGTGATTTTAATCCTATAGAATTAATTTGGGCACTAGACAAACGAAAGGTTGCTTCGCATAATGTGGGTGCAAGTGATGTTAAAAAACTAACCGAAGAGGCATTCAATTCCATTACAGTAGAGGATTGGAAGAACTGCTGCGAACATGTCAAGAAAATCGAGTTAGAATATTATAATCGTGGAAAAACATTGTACAATGACATAGACAGTTTAATTATCCAGGTTGGTGCAGACAGCAGTGACGATGACTCTTATATAGAGTCCAGTGACGAATCAATGTCGGAGCAAGTAGACGATATAAACCAAGGTGCAAGCACGTCACACTCTGAGGGAATTGAAGGTGTCGAATATTTAGATTTTGATCTATTAGAATAGTGTACTAGTACATTTTCTTTAATATATCTCGATAACAATAGTTTGGGTGACTTGGTGGGCTGTCTAATGTAACTTTTCTGATTTCAGCCTATTTTTAAATAAATAAGTTTTGCATGTGTTGACCTCATGTCAGTTTTTTATTTCAATATATCATACCATAAATGCGATAGCTGATTTTATTTGTACTCAGGTAACAAAATGAGCATAAATTTTACCTGATGGTAGGTGAGAGTAACAAACGTCCATACATCCATCCTAAGAAACTTACGCATTTATAATATTACTAGGATAAGTTAAACACTGCGTTCGTTACCTTGAAATAGCTTTTAAATAATATTAAGTATCAAAACATGTACGAAAGTGGCGCCCTCATTTATTTTCAACTCTTTTGTGTCGTACTTGTAAATAAATAATACTATTCAAATATCAAGTTCAGTTAGGTCGTACTAACTGGGTTGCTACATGAGCGATGGTGGCGGCCTCATTTATTTTCTACTCTTTTATGTCGTACTGTATGTATGCAGTTGCGTTCTGAAATCTGTTCACCAATATTAGTGATTCTAATATTGCTACAGTAGAATGGGATCTTGCGATTGCAAGGATCTAATATGAATGAACAAGTTATTTACCCATATTTACAAAATTGCAAAAAAATCTTAGGACAATACAATGATCAAACCGAATCAATTTTATTTTTAAGTGGTAAATGCTCAATGATCAATATGTGAAAAATATTGATCTGGAACGTAACTGTCAAACTCATGTCATAATCACCTGTACATAACCTAAAAGTTCTTCTCGAATTTATTGTTAAAAATATTGCATTTATTTTCAAAATGAGGCGTCAAATTTTGTGTTTATCAACAAAAGTGACGCAAAACAGTTGCACAAAGGCATTGCCATTGACGAGTAAGTAATAATGAATGCAGTACTATTCATCATTTATCTTTTTCGAATCGAATAAACATAACTTCTTTGGTGTATTTCTAGGATTCCTAAGTAGTCAAGAAGCTATAGATCGGCGTTACCACCTTTTTACATTAGAAAAGAAGCGTCAATTGGATAATGTCGGCCGAATTGAGAAAATTGAGGTTCAATACAAAGGCGTACCTAAAAGTTGCACTTTAATAATGAATAAGGGAATCTCGACGCCCTACGATTGTGCCAGACGTAAGTTCTTTAAAAACAGTTAATTAAAAAGGCTATATCGTAATTGCAACTTTGATCTTTTTAGAATACAATTCTTTGGGAGCTTTGTTTATGTAATGCTGTGATTATCATGTAATAAAACATATTATATATAATAAGTCCCAAATCTGTCCCTCCATAACTTAATAGGAGTATCTATACAGCAATCTTAGCCAAATGCCAAATACCAGGCACAGCTACAGAACCCATATTATAAGTAAAAACAAAAATTATAAATTTATAACAGAATACACACATTACACACCCTGACACCTTTGTCATACAGGGGTAAGCGGAAACTATAAACCACTACAGACAGATAACTCTATTTTTATTGATTTTCAGATTTAAGTGAATGGCACGTAGAGTCCAGTGCTCTAGCACTGCTAGATGGCTCAGTTTACTGGGACATGCACAGACCACTCACAGAAAACTGCACTTTAGAGGTAAGCATTTAAATCTATTGTCATTAAATTCAGAGAGATATTTTAAAATTATATATTCTGAATTAAGTAAGTCTTTTTATTCTAATGGAAATAGAAGTTTTCTGTTATGTTTACTAGAAGGCTCAGTACGAGTTCGGTTTGCTTTTAAAGTAATCAAAATGAGACCATATTCGTCACTCTGATTGGCCGGCTCCAATAAACCAACCAATTAGAGCGACGAATATGGTCTTTTTCGATTAATTTAAACATAAAACAAACTCATATTAAAGCCAGTAACTGAACAGGAACAGTACAATGTCATAACTTTCATAATTTTCATTGACTATCATCATCCACACAGTACAGGGCTAAGAGTTTTCATTGCATAAAAAGAGTTTGCTATCTCCAAGCAAGCCCCAGTGCGGGTCATGATGCGGAGCGAGGGGGACTGGGATGCCGTCTACTCCTTTTGCGAAGCAGTCATGCTAGCTAAGGAGGTGGGGCGCGTGAGGCAGCGAAGCGCTGCCTTCTTACAACCCAGCCATCATTTCATTTCATTTTTCATTTCATTTCATTTATTCAATAAACAATTTACATTGTATCTGAATGTCTTCATACATTATCATAAATCATAATCATAAATTACATTGCAATATAATCCATACAGCATGGATCAGTCATATTACTCATAAAACAAAAAATAAAATCAACAGAACAATTTAAATAATAATAAAACGCGAAATAATCAAATATAACATGACAAAAATCCAAGAAAATCCAAAAACATCACGAAGAACACTCCGGGCTTCGGGAATCGCGGGATGATCTCCGGTCATCGTAAGCGCGGGGCTACGGGTGGCAAGCAAGGCTCGCCGCCCGACTAGAACCAGACCCGGGCGTACGAAGCGTCGCGTTCCACGCGCGCCTTAAAGAGGCATCAGACCACCACGGATGGGGCCCAATAAGGCTGATGCCGATACGAAGCCCCGGAGAACCTAGCGGGTTACCGGAGCTCCGGCTCGACGGGGTGGTTTTTAGTCAGTAAGAGAAGGAGAAGCCATTCGATAATTTTCCCCCTTTAAAAAAAAAACCCCAAGCATAATCAATATAAGCATAACTAATACATCTCTGTCTGCCCACCAGGTTTATTTGGTTTCATATGCATAGGCATAGGCATTACTAATAGTAGTCAACTAAATAATTATTCAGTGCCATATCACACAAACTACACAAAACTCTTCTTATTCCCACAGCTCCAAAACTTCTCAGTAGCAGAGCCGCAGCAGGTGAACAAGGCATTCTGGAGGACTTGCTCGTTCGTGCTTGGCGCGTGCGCCACCATCGCGTTCAAAGACACAGTGCCTGTCAAACTGCACAGTTTCCCTGGACCTGATAGTAAGTGTATTTTGAGATATACTATGTGATGGAAATGAAAAATTAGCCATTTGTAAGAATTGAGATTTATAATGAATTTTTTTCTAAGCCCAATACGGTATTCGACAACTAGTAAAATTCAATTCTTTTTTCGAACTGTCAGAAACGACAGATTTCTATGAATTTTGTATGAGATTGTGAATTGTGACGTCACGATTTATTAACGTCATATAGCATACTTATTTCTTAAAAATCTGCTGGAAACATACTAAAATTAATGTGGTCACAAAATCAATTAATGAAAGTGCGATTCTTTTTTAATATTTTATTGTATTCAGTTCAAATAATTTATTTTTGATGAAAGTAAAAATACCCAATACACATGCACACCCTTTGCTACACTCTAAACCTAACCCAAGCTTGCACTCTTGCTTTGCATTCGCTTATGACCACTGTGTTAATCAGAGACGTAGGTAGATTTGACTTGATGATTAGAAGTACCGATTAACTTATTAATGTAACCATCCAACCGACTCATTCCAGTCCGCAGCGGCTCCTTCATATATGACGTAGACCTACCAACCTTGAGCGACTGGAAGCCAACACAGCAGGAGTTAATCACGTTGGCAGCCGAGTACATCAAGCTGACGAGGCTGAATGAACCGCTGGAGAGGCTCGAAGTGGGCGAGGAGTTAGCTCTGGAGATGTTTGTGGAGAACGAGCATAAGACTAAGCAGATACCTAGCATTGCGCGGCATAATGGTAAGATTATCTTTTTTATTACTTTTTTTGTCTTTATAACAACTATCCTGAGACACACTGAATTAACTGAAAATAATGGTTTGCGCGAAAATATTCTGAGAGAAGCTCTACTAGTTTCGAGTCACAGAGGGACTCTTCTACGGGAGTAAACCGTTATTTTTATTTAATTGACTATTTTGTCCATTTTTTATGTTGCAATAAAGTTGAGAAAAGGCTAGGTAGGACATTTTTTACACCGTCATGCTTTTTATCTCCAGAGGTTAAGGCGCATAATAGGGGTTAGCTTGTTGCCATATACCGGGCACAATAGTGCAGTTTCCTAAATTTTATTTTAATGTCCGTCTGGTACATTAATTTAAAACTAAATACTTTCGACGATATATTAATTTGAATTTCGTGTAACGTCACAGCGTGTCACATTTTGTAGCACGTTATGACGTAACGATCTCCCACTCCTAAACTTAGTGCCATTTCATCTAAGTATTGCAAATTAATACGGGAAAATAAAAAAATACGTGTCTAATATTTTTTCATTATCTAACTGACGGACTAATTAGATTTTTAATTTTGATACCCTGGAAAGTACCCAATTCTATGTGCATACTTTGCCTCTTGGTTGTCAGTCAAAAGCCAGAATAACAGGTTGTACCTGCCTTTGTTTGCAGGTAAAGTAACACTATACAAAGTGGGTAAACACGTAGATATATCGAAGGGCCCCATGATCAGCACCACTGGACAAATTGGGCGACTCAGCATAGCATCTGTACACAAAATAAATGGTAAGTTGTCATTATGCCTGTATGTCACAGCCTCACAGAAAACCGACGTGAAGCAACGCCTGCGTTGTGTTTGGTCGTGTCACCCCGATCTCTGAATCCCCAACAATCCTCAATTTCCTAATCCCCAAAAGGCCGGTAAAGCACTTGTAACACCTCTGGAGTTCCGGGTGTCCATGGGCGGCGTCGATTGCTGACCATCAGGAGATCCGACTGCCCTTTTACCGACTTATCCTATAAAATAAAATTGCTACTACACACAAAATTAAATGCCAATCTAATTCAGTTATCAGATCTTATTAATAAGATCAATTGTAACAATTGTTTTTAAATCAAATTAAGTAAACTAAAAATTACCGAACCGAATTTTTTGTTTACTTAATTTCGCAGAAAAAATGCAACTGACTTGTAAATTACTCTTCAATGTTCAAACTTGGCTTTGTTAAACAATAGGTTAGTTAATAACGATTTTAGTTATACCCATAAGGTGGACAGACAACCCGATAAAGATTCCAACCGCTTCCAACCAGCCCCTCTGGAAGTCATTGGGAAAGCTTGCGTGGGGCAGTGAATGTCTTGTGGGTGATGGATGCCTACTATCATTACTTAATTGGGTTTTACAGATCTAGGACTCAATTATACAACATTGTCTTGTATATTATAATGCTATACATCTTCCAGGGTCAGCAGAGGGCGACGTGAAGCAGTTGTACAGGTTCCAGGGCGTGGCGCTCCCTACCGGCGTCATGATGAACCACTTCACCTTCTCAATACTCGCACAGAGAGCTAAGAAATTGGTGAGTAATATTTTTTCAAGTTCGTAACATCTTTAGAGTTATCTCTATGTGTGTCTATTCAAATTCATTTTGTAAACAAACTGTTAGAGTCTTAAATTACACGGAGCCGCGGAAGACTTAACGGGTTACCGGGGCTCCGGCTCGAAATGCAGGAGTAGGAACGGGGTGGTTTTTAGTTCGTTAGAGTCTGATACTCCCTCTTGCCTCACCCCGGCGGGAGCAGCCATTGGATGAATTTCTCCCCTCAAAAAAAAGGGACTTAAATCACATTTTTAAACGCTATCAAGGTCCTCGTCAAACATTTACGTGAACAACCTGAAAACATAATAATTAATTTAGTATCGAAAGTTTTAATAAATTATAACATAGTTGGAACAAATAAATGGGATCATTTGGATTTATTATTTTTAATTAATGTCAATAGAATTATTAATAACTACCTATAGCTTCTATGGGCCGCGTTGATAGCTTACCATCAAGTGATCCGTCGCGTCGTCTGCCGTTGCCCCCCCTTTTCCCTAGATACCTAGATAAAAAAGTATTTCTATCTATGGGTCTTTTACTGAAACTATTACTTGTTGGAAATTATTGCAGATATAAAAAGGGTAAGCTCACAATATTAAATATAACAATTTAACATTTTATGTTATTTCCAGAATCCCGTAAAATCCCCGATCCCGAAGCCAGTGGAGGCTGAAGAAAAAGAAGAAATAGCGATGAAAGGCTGAGCCCAGTAATGTTACTATAGTCCCTAATATTATATAAGTAGTCACATAGTTATATGTAAGGCAATAAAACTTTAAAATTATATGATTGTGTTTTTTATTGTTATTCATATTTTTAGAAATAACGTGGCCTTAAGTCCATGTTATTTTTTGTCATCGGCAATTTTTTTTAAAACCTGGCCCCACATTAGGATTTTCTCCTATATCGTGGGTGTGTTGACAATCATACAAGTTCATATACACATCACACCCAAACCACAGTGGAAACTTATCTTTTTTTTTTCTCTTATAATATCTTCTTCACTTGGTTGCGGGAACCAAGACAGTTATTCATGTCCCTGAGACGCGCCGGACTTCAGTGTTCTGGTGTTTTCATGGTTGTATCTACTGTAGATTTTGAGAGGCTGTGGCGGGCTTGTCCTATTTAAAAAAAAAAGAATGTCACCCAGACATGGAACAACAATCTATGGATCACACAAAGAATTGTTCCGTGCGGGAATCAAAGTCGCGACACATTTTTTTTAAACAACCATGTTCAAGCATTATTTACATTTGATTCGTGCAGAGATCGAATTCTAATCGTTACTTTTGTATTTTCTAACCACCTGTATGTTTACATTATGGATGCAATAAATACTCGATTACTCGAGCCCACGATACTTGTCGTAATTTATGAATGCTAAGCGACTCCTTACAGATTGGAATATGACTTTATATAATTATAGTCTGTTATTACTTAGTACATCAGCTACCTGCCAATAAAATTCCCGTCAAAATCGGTCCAGCCATTTCAGAGATTAGCCAGTACTTATAGACAAATATTGTAAAAGGTGTTATATTCATAATATGCATAGTAAAAAGCGGTTATTTTAATATTACAAACAATGGAATTCTTTGCCAGAGCCTGTATTCCTAAAGGGTATAACCTGGGAGTCTTCAAGGCCCAAATGAATAGGTTGCTTATGTGACGATGTGCTCCATCGTAGACCGCATCATCGCTTACCACCACTACTGCTTTTCACTATTTATGTTATGAGTTCCATGTAATAGGGGGTGAGCCTACTGCCATATATCGGGCACATTTCCAGACTCCGTGCTGCTACTGAGGTTTTTACAAACCCAGTAATACTTTGCCCGACCCGAGAATCGAACCCGAGACCCCTTGCCCGACAGTTGCACTTGCTACTACTCGGTCAATGAAGCAGTCAAAGTAAACACTGAAATTTTATTTATTTGTATAGATAATGAAAAATTGAAATCCATCATTTATCATTTATTTCTTACATAAATATTATGTACATAATAAAACAACATAATAAAATTATTATAGGTACAAAGTACAATGAATTAGATTACCTACCTCTACCTACATCTCTATATCTTCTATCGACTTTTACTTTCTTCTAAAACAAGAAAGAGACAAACAAATGCATAACAATATAACAGTGTCCTTATAATAGAAAAGGACAACACTATGTTTCGTAAACAATTTAGGAATTCAAATTGGGTACTTGTCAACTAGTCAAATTCAATACTTTTTTCGAACTGTCAAAAACGACAGTTTTCTATGTATTTTGTACGAGATTGTATATTGCGACGTCACGTTTTTAGTGTCAAACTGAAAAAAAAATTGAATGCAGTTGGTCATAAAATCAATTATTAATTGAAAGCGTGATTATTTTTTTAAATATCTTATTATATTGAACAGTCGAAATAATTTATTTTTGATTGCGGAAAGTACGCAATTATCGTTAAGTTTACTACAGACATCGGAAGCCATTTTGATAATTTCAGTATGTTTTGTTTATTTAACTTACGGTAAAATAGGGTGAATAGGGTTTGAGCGGCGAAAATGTACAGAAGAGGAGTGAATAGATATAAGGAAATTCTTCATAGTATCGATTCACCCCTCTTCTGAGACCTTAGTTTGAGTTTGTTTTACGTACGTAATCGTACTATTCACCTCTCGATCCCTATTCACCCCATTTTACGGTACTATTTGTTTTTGCGAGCAGTTTAATTTTTTCGCAGCCAGTATTATTATAAGGTTTTTTTAGAACACTAAGTTAGCATAGAGTTCTAAAGTTACAATGACAAAATTGTTTGAATTTATATGGCAGTTTAGGTGGATGAAATTAGTGAACAGTAAGTACTGACGATAATAAATTATGCCTTCATAAGTATGTGCTAAAGTCAATTGCGCCATTATCGGACTGTCGACTTTAAATACTTTCTGATAAAGGTTAAAATCCTTCATTTAAGACGTTTTTGGTTTCTTCGGGTCAGTAGGCCCCTCCTCTTCATTTCCAGCCTGGAATATAGGCTGTGGTTGAGTTTTCTTATACGCCGGAGCCACCCAGAACGGATTCTCTTCAGCTTCCTTCGCATATTTCAAGATAGCCTCTCTTGGATCCTGTTCATCATCAACCCTCTTACTTAGACCCAGGTTCCTGATGACGAAGGAGCTTAGGGTGCTTCCTGAAGCCGCTACCCTACCACCCTGACCTGATGTGATGGGTAGATCAGGCCGGTGTGACTTGACCGGGTCCAACCTATCTTTCTCCATTTTCTTCTTGCTAGTTCTTAACTTCTCTTGTCTGAACAACGGTAAAGCGTGAGGAGTGATAATCTGCTGAGCGCTCACAACTTCTACCGAATGCTTCTTCCTATGAGTCTTCACTATGCAAAGCTTCGCACCTCGTAAACTCCTTTTCTGATCAAAGTAGCACTTCACAACTCCATTACCGCAACCGACGAATATCTGGTTCAGTTTCGCGTGCCAAATCGCCTTTATCACGTGAGATTTCGTCACATCTATATGCGAAACTTGTTCAAACGTCTTTGTATTGTAGAATATTAGTCTTCCTATATCCTGACCCTTCTTTAGAGACTCTCCCGTGAACACCAGACTATCATCTGGACTGAACGCGCAGTCAGTTTGTTCATACCTCGAGAATAGATCTCCAAAAACGTTCACAGGTTTCCTGAAGTTTCTAAGGTCCCAGATTTTAAGAGTATCGTCATTGCCTCTACTAGCTAAGTAGGAACCGAGGTAGGAATATGAAATGCTGGATATTTCTGATTGTTTTTGATGGCAGTCTCTGACACAGGCTGTGGTATTGACGAAGTTCTTCCTATGGTCCCACATTTGAATGGAACCGTCGTAGCATGCGCAAGCGACTGTGTTCCCGTCCCTGGAGAATGTACAAGCAGTTGGGTTGGTTTTCAAACCTCCTTGCTGTCTGGGTTTTATGACTGCTTTGTGCTGTTTAGGGTTCTCAGTGAGCCAGAGTCGTAGTGTACCATCTTGGGAACATGTCATGAACTCCTCGCGTATGTGCGGATGCCAACAACCACTGTTTAGAGCTGCTGTGTGGCCTTTAGTTCTGAAAAGAATGGTGATTAGTTAGGAATAAAGTTAGAATGTAGAATGGACAATTTATTAGGCCAATATTTACTGGGAAATGGTTGCATAAACGGTTTTTATCTAAGAATTGATTTATTCAAATTTAATTGTCGTAGTAAAGTCAAATTAAAAAAAAATCACAAATTAACTATTCATATTCGAAATTAGTATTATGCATTGTCAGCTGGTTGTGCAACGATAGCCGTGGCGGTTGTCGCGTGGTGAATACACGCGCCATGCTGCTCATAACCATGGACCATAAGCCCCTAGCATAGCTCGGTACTAGACAAGTGACCTCGTCAATCAGTTATGTAAATACACCATAGCAATTAATTTAAGACACTCGCGTCTTATACACAGGGATGCGGGTTCGAAACCTATTAACGGCAAGTACTAATGTGATATTTTACGAGTTATATGTACTTTAAGATAATCTAGATACCACTGACAAACGGTGAAGAAAAAAGTCGTGCGGAAACGGGCTTATAATTTCTAATTAGAGGTTTACAATCACCAACCCGGATTGAGCAAGCATGGTGATTAATGCTCAAACCTTCTCCGTGTGAGAAGAGGTCTTTAATAAGCAGTGGCCACTGAGAGGCTGTTGACCTGATGTGATTAACTCATTGAGTACCGTCATTATAGACACAATTATAGAACAATAGGTTGCGGTCACCGGTGACCGCTCGGTGTTTGACAGTTTATTTTAATAACAAACATGTTATACTTACTTAGCCATATCAGTAATATACTGATCTCCCTTCACACACTCAAGCACTTCAAAGCCGTCTCTGTCCAGCACCTTGGCCTGAGCAGCGCCGCTGACTACTAGTATAGAGTCTCCCGTATTGGAGTACTGTAGTGCCTTGATGGGGTGGTTCTCACACGGCTGTAGGGTGCGGAATGATCGCATTCCTGAGTCCATACCTGGGAACAGGAATTGATTAGGATGTTTATAAGGTAGACAAAGAGTTTTGTATTCAATTCCCAGGTTGGGCATAGTGTTATTGGGGATTTTCAATTTTAATTTTCGTTAACAGCACAAACGACTGTATAGACAATTTACCTGGTGAACTTATTGTCATATGCTGGGTAGATATGCTACCCAGCATATGACAATAAGTTCACCTCCAAGGGAGCCATAACATAAGTAGTAAATTAATCAGGTTACACTAAAATCTCTGTTCTTCAAGTTGCAAATAAGATAAATTCTTACTGTATATGTACTAAAAACTAACTATTTTTTAAGATTGATTGATTACTATCTCATCTCATCATTGTGGCACAAAACCATCGGCGGAGCGTCACCGATTAATGGTAGACGTCCCACCCACATGCACGAAGCGTTTCGCATCCAGCAACCAAGTGCGTACTGCTAAGGAGCGGAATGCTTTGCCAGTCTGTATATTCTGAAGGGTTATAACCTGAGCGTCTTCAAGGTCCGAGTGAATAGGTTGCTTATGGGTCGACGTGCTCCATCGTAGACCGCATCATCCCTTATCACAGGCGAGATAGTGGTCAAACGTCGTCCAATTTATAAGTGTGGGAGAGCCATGCTTCGGCACGAATGGGCCGGCTCGACCGGAGTGATACCACGGCCTCACAGAAAACAGACGTGAAGCAACGCTTGCGTTGTGTTTCGTCGTGTGAGTGAGGTTACCGGAGGCCCTATTACTCTCTCCTTCCCAAATCTCCCCAATTCCTGAATCCCCAACGATCCTTAAACTCCTAATCCCCAAAAGGCCGGTAACGCACTTGAAACGCCTCTGTTCCAGGTGTCCATGGGCGACGCCGATTGCTTACCATCAGGTGATCCGTCTGCTAGTTTACCGGCTTATACCATAAAAAAAAAACAAATAAAAAATACAATTAGTTACTTAAATCTCATTAAAAGACCTTACCAGCAAAATCCCAGAACGAGACATCGTAGTCAATGGAGCCAGTTGCCAGTCTAGCACCTGAGGGGTCTGCAGCCAGCGCAACCACTGCTTTAGTACCATGTAGCATTTCCACCTGTGAAGATATTGATTAGAAACTAACTAACCCAGCAAACTTCATATCACCTAAAAACATTTTTCTCACCTTTTAATTTAAAAAGTTTGTGGAAATCCAGGTAAAGTTAATCAAATGTCAAGATGAAAATTAGCCAAATTGAGTTCAGCCGTTCTCGAGTATTAGCGAGAATAACAAGCAAATTCATTTTTGTTTTTATAGGTTACGAATTAAGGAGGTTGGTCTTTGTTTGAAATATAAGAGTAATGGAGAACTAGAGGACATGAATTTTTATCTAAGAAGGGTACATAACACCTTTTGATTCCGAAGTTTAGCAGTAGTGCACATCTTCAATGTAACACTAAGTCTATACCAGTTATATTTTAATTCACAAGAAATAGCATTTAACATTTTAAGCTTTTAGTTATATATCAATTGTCATGCCCCTAGTGTGCAGTGTCTCAATTTGTTATCGAATATAAAATTATACCTACAGTAAGGAAGAACATCTTATTTCCGATGTTTAGAAACTACTTTTGTATGAACTAACTTTGGTATGATATATATATCAACATATTAATAGAACAAAAAAAACATCATGTTCTGTCGCAGAGATACAACTTGAGCGGTAGGGGCAAGAAAAGATGTGTCACATGTCAAAATGTTAAATAATTTGTTGGCAAGTGATATAGTTAGTTAATATATTTTATCTTAAAACAATTTGTAATTATCAATACATAGTATAAAACAAAGTCGCTTTCGCTGTATGTCCGTATGTATGCTTAGATGTTTAAAACTATGCAACGGATTTTGATACGGTTTTTTTTAATAGATAGAGTGATTCTTAAGGAAGGTTTGTATGTATATACATATTGCACCCGTGCGAAGCCGGGGCAGGTCGCTAGTTTAAGTATAACCTACACAGTTAAGGATGTAACATGCAATTAATATAATAAAAAGATGAAAAAGAATCTAGTGAAAAGAGTAGGTAATAAAGTTTTCTCACCTCATGACTATTAGGTATCCTCTTCTCCAATGGCAAGTCCTCATCATCAGAACCACTTAGCTCATCATAGCTGTCTTCATCACCATCACCTTTGCTCTTCCTTTTGGCATCCTTGTTCATCAGGTCTGGTGGTATTGGTGGGCCTATGAGATCATCATCATCGTCATCATTTTGTGACATCGCTGGAGGTAATGGCGGCCCTATCAAGTCATCACCGCTTTGTTCATCTTTTTTCGTCTCTGGTTCCTTAGGCTTAGAAGCTTCAGCCTCCAACCTCCTTTTATTGGCCTCCTGGGCGTTTACCTTTGCCTGTTCCACTAGTTCGACGAGGTCAAAGTTCTTAGCTTTTTTCCCAAAATTTTTTATTCCCATCACTTGCTGAACGTGTTGATTTTCTAAGTCTTCAGCTATTTCTTCGATTTCCTTGTGTTCCTGAATAGGTGTACGGCCGAAAGTACCGAAACCTGATGTGTTTGCCTCATTTTTGTCCTTGTTTTCATCTGTTTTGCTAGCTTTAAGGCTGATTTTACCAAAAGATATGGGTTTCTTGTGCATTTTTGGTCGACTTGATTAGAGGTTGATGTTCCCAACGTACTATGTCTTGTGTATTTTCCACAGATAATATCTATCAAAATTAATTCAGTTCACTAAGTGTACTTGTAGTAATAAATAAAAATTTATAGCTAACTTGGATTTTACTCTAAAAACTCAATCTGCCGATTTGTTTTGCAATGGCAAATGTCAAAGTCAAAACTAGGTAAACTGTCAAAAAGTATTAACGGGATCATCAAACGTCAAACGCCACGTTTAGTTGTTTTTATAGATGAATAAGATCTATGATTAATCTACAAATAGTTTTTTAAATATTCACATTGCATGGTTTGGTGACTTTTTCTGGGAAAAATCTTTTAGAAAGCTTTGAAAACACTCGTGTATTTTATTGTTCCCTCGTTCCAATATTGTTGTGACTTTGATGTAAGCTGAATGACAATGTTGTTTGAATTTTGACAATCCATCATCCAATCCAACAAGAAAACGTCAAACGAGTTACTGATTTCCTACGGCTTGGAGGTGGATTTAATAAATAATAACAAAAAACAGTTAGATTACAGTATAATTTAAGATTGGGTAAGTACTAAGCACGGTTGAAATTATCTTAAATATATTTTAACACAGAGAAATAAATTACAAACAGATAACAGCTAAACATTGACACCAAGTTGTACAAAATTACGAATCCTACAAAAACGTAAGGTAAAGAAATGCTTAACATTATTAAAACTAAAATTTATGGGCAACAAACATTCACATTCTTTTTAAAATACCTGACTACTCGTGTGAATATTTAAAGTTTATTTTTTTTATTTAAATTCCGTTTCATTTTGCTTGTTTGTATCGCTGATTCGATTCGTACTTGACTATTCTTGATATTCTCTTCGCATTCTCTGTAGGGCTGCGGTCCTGAGCGGTCATTCACGATGTTGTTATTACCGATATTCTGCGTTATCCTCGGCTCGGCCGTCGGTCACATTGATAAAGGTAAAGAAATAATATTTATTTATAATAGTCTTATCACTGTTTGTGTATAAATAAGTTTTAATCAACATTTAATAGCAGGATAATGTTTTTAATTAGTAACTATGTAGATTCAACTTCATGTAGGTAATGTTGCAGATTTAGCATTATTATTCTGTGGTTAGTTTTTGTATTACCTACATTGAGTTATTTTTTCTGTATCCATCTACCTTTTTTTTTAAATAACGGATTATACTGTGAAAACATAGACTAGGTATTTACTTTTTCGCAGTTTATAAAGATAGTTTGTGTTAAATTATGGTGAACCATTTAATGATGTTATTATTTTAACTCGTCGAGTACCGGTTTTGTAGACACAATTATAGAACAATAGGTTGCGGTCACCGGTGACCGCTTGGTGTTTGACAGTTTAAACAGTTTTAGAACTTTTTATAGTAAATATAATATAACTTAACATTCATTTTATATGGGTAGATGTATAAATACTTACAATGTACCTACTTTTGAGCAGTCATGAGTCTCATGTAGAAGTGGGTGAGCCCATTGCCATATTCCGGGCACAATTCCAGACTCCCCGCTATTATTTTGTAATTTTCAAAATACAGAAAAAAATACTATCCAGCCTGTAATCAAACAAAGACTTCTTTGATTAAAAAAACAATATAAAAATAAACTTCATATAAACAGAGTGACCGAGATTGTTTGTACTTACATGCTTATCATGTATTGAGTTCAATAGCAAAACAAAATTAACTGATATGGATTGAAATAAATAACAGAAAATGTAATGTAATAGACTAAACAACTTTCAAATCTTTGATAAAATATGTAACTTTGATTTGTAAAAATCATTTGGTTTCAAATTCCTCACTTCAACAAACAATTAGTTTTTTGAAGTGAAGAAAATAATATCACACTTTATTTAACTCGTCAAGTACCGTCATTATAGACTCAATTATAGAACAATAGGTTGCGGTCACCGGTGACCGCTTGGTGTTTTTGACAGTTTAATACAAGCACCTCTAAATTCCTATGAGGAAATTTACGCATCTACTTTGCACTAGTTTTTTCATAAGTTCCGTGTAACACGGTTGGCGCGGTGGCTGGACAACTGGCTGCCGCGCAACGTGTCGCGGGTTCGATTCCCGCACGGAAGAATACTTTGTGTGATCCACAGATTGTTGTTCCGAGTCTGGGTGTCATGTGTATGTGAAATTGTATGTTTGTAAACGCACCCACGACACAGGAGAAAATCCTAGTGTGGGGGATGAAATGCCATCGATCAATCCAACACAATTATTCATGTCCCTGGGACGTACCGGAATTAAGTAGTCCATTGTGTTCATGGTTGTATCTACTGCACACCCTGGCTTACAGGAGTTGCATCGATTTGGGAGGTTGTGACGGGCTTGTCCTAATTAAAAAATAAGGTTGATCGCCATACACCGGATGCAATTCCAGCCGATACATTGTTCGGAAGAAATTTTCGAGAAACTTTAATATACATACTTAGTTGATAGATAAATCCAATCTTTGACCTTTACTGAGGCAGTCATAATGAATCAGTTATTCTTTACCGGAAGAATGAAATTCACCTTACTTGATTGACTGATGGACACCCATTATATGACTGTGTTTCCCTGGTTATTTATCTAGACTTTGTAATTAAAAACTATCTTCTCTTTTAGATGCTCCCCCTCAATGGAGTCCCGTGTACACAGTTAAGGGAACACTGAACATTCCTTATGCTGAACTCAAAGAACCTTTCTACACTTGGTGAGTTAGATTTTGATAAATATTTTGATATACATACATAAATAAATACTAACTAAAAATAGCCCAGTAAGGCTGATGGCCGGGGCTCTGGCTCGAAGAGCAGTAGGAACGGGGTGGTTTGTAGCCAGTAAGAGTGTGACACTCCCTCTCGCCTTACTCAAGGCAGAAGAAATAGTCGGTTGATTTTTCCCTTAAAAAATGTAGTCGGAGTGGGTTGTGTGTCGTGCTGAAGGAAATGGAGGAAGGGGGCGCCATCGAATAGATTGTTATTCAGCATAATATAATATCTAATGATTTATATAACAGTGACTTGATTAATACCTAGTCATAATACTTGCATAATTATAATTTTGCAGATTCATCAATAGGTATAGTTAATCATGAGTTGCTAACAAGTATTTGTTTACTAATACAATGCAACTCAAGGGTTTCATATATCTATCGATTTTTGAAGGCCAGTTTCGTCTAGGATTTCAAATAAGAGCTATCAATAATTTATATACATATGTATTTATATTGCATTGTACTCGTGTGTAGGTGTATATTACATTTATATTTAAGTTTATCTTCATTTGTTAAATAAAGTCATTGTTTGCTTCTTGCACCTATCATCTACTCTTTACCAAAAGGCCAGACTGGGAGAAAATGCCTGCGGCATTATGTCCACCTATTGTACATCGAGTGCATGAACCATACCACTACATAATATAAAACAAAGTCGCTATCCGCCGTCTGTCTGTCCCTATGTATGCTTAGATCTTTAAAACTACGCAACGGATTTTGATGTGGTTTTTTAATAGATAGAGTGATTTTATGGAAGGTTTATATGTATAATACATGCATATTGCCGTGCCCGTGCGAAGCCGGGGCGCGTCGCTAGTTAAATAAATAAATAAAGGTTCAATTAAGTAATTAGTTCATAAGACAAATAATTTTGCAAAGAATATTACTTTTTAAATCGACGCTTAATGCAATAGAGATCCTAATCTCATGGAATAGAGGCAACCCTATGTTTTTATTGGACTTCACGGTTGGTGCGGTGATTCTGCAACTAACTGGCCGCCGCGCACCGTGTCGTGGGTTCGAGTATCACACGGAGCAACTCTTTGTGTGATCCACAGATTGTTCTGAGTCTGGGTGTGATGTGTATGTGAACTTGAATGTTTGTAAACGCACGCACGACACAGGAGCCAATCCTAGTGTGGGGCAACGTGTAAAAAAAAGAATAAATAAAAAATTGGAATAAAACTCTTAAAGCCAGGACCTAACTATAGTGCCCTAGTTTCGGGTCCAAGACTGACACATACCAAATGTTTTCGGAAATTGATAATTCTCATAATACTATACACGATACGGGAATAATCCCGATTTCACTTTACCTACAAGTCTTTTCCCTCCTTTATCATACTCTCAATTCTAAATAAGTATCAAAAATCCCGACAACAGGATAATCAATAACAAAGCAACGTTTTTCAAGTTTTGTTTTTATAAACCATCTCTGAGAAATTGTTCACAAAAACGAGCCAGCTTGGCCATACCTAGTATAATAAAATAACAGACGTAGATAAGTAGGTACCTACACTATGTTTTGTTGACAGTCATAATTCTAAGAATGTACCTCATTAATACTTTTATAGTGCTTCGATATACTATACATAAATACTATAGTTTGAAACAGCTGGCAATTTAAAAGACAAAACTTTAGTTTTCAGCTGTGAAATGTTATAATGTTTTAATAGGGTAGATGCCTAATTTTTATTTAAATGTCCGTCTAGTAGATTATTTTAAATCATTAGACACGTATTTTTATTTTCTTACAGAAACGAATACTTTCGACGATATATTGATTTGAAATGTCGCGTGACGTCACTTCTATGTACATTTTATCAATAGAAATGACGTTTATCCTCTTAAACTTTGATTCGTTTTATCTAAGTATTGCAACTTAATACGTGAATGTAAAAAAATACGTGTCTAATATTTTTTCATTACCTAACTTACGGACTGATTAGATTTTTAATTTTCATACCCGGTCATCATCCCAATTAATTAATATTTGTAGTATCTAGTAAATTGAAGATTGCTTTATTTATCTGTAGGTTACAAGTACGATGACCTTTAATAAGATTTCAATCTACCTTTCATCCTCAAACCTTTTAAGTGGTAGGCAGTGATACCTACTATTTCTTTTATTACTATTATTATAGAAGCGATGGTGTTTTTATGGGATACGCCGATAAACGAGCAGACGGATCACATGATGGTAAGCAATCGGCGTCGCCCATGGACACCTGGAACACCAGGGGTGTTAAAAGTGCGTTACCTAATTCATTCTGTCTCCTGCTATAATTCACCGAGGGAAGTGGAAACTATCGTTTATTTCTTCTCCGCTTATAATATATTATGATTCACTTCGTTGCGGGAACCAAGACAGTTATACATGTCCCTGGGACGCGCCGGATTTGAGTGTTTCGGTGTTTTCATCGTTGTATCTACTATAGATCCTGGCTTACAGGAGTTGCAGCGGTTTTGGGAGATTGTGGCGGGCTTGTCCCAATAAAAAAGTGCATTACCGGCCTTTTGGGATTAGGAATTTGAGGATTGTAAGGGGGATAGTTGGGCTTCCGGTAACCTCACTCACACGATGAAACACAACGCAAGCATTATTTCACGTCGGTTTTCTGTGAGGCCGTTGTATCAATCCGGTCGAGCCGGCCCATTCGTGCTAAAGCATGGCTCTCCCACACCTGCAAGAACCACTTTGCTTGGTGTGAAGAAAAAATGATTTAACTATTTATTTATTTAAGCAATCAATTTGATAGTAAGCCACCAAATATCTAAAATAGCTGAAGACTTTCTTTGTTTGTTTAAACTCGCTAAGCTCACGTAGCTTTCTGCCTCGCACAGCAAAACTGTGAATGAATGATCTGTCGTCAGCGGTATTTCCGAACCGATACGACCTTCAAACCTTCAAGAAAAGAGTGTATTCCTTTCTAAAAGGCCGGCCGACCTGTGACTCCTCTGGTGTTGCGGGTGTCCATCGGCGGCGCTGATCGCTTACCATCAGGTGATCCGTCTGCTCGTTTGTCTCCTATTCCATAAAAAAATATCTGGAAGTACTGGTCAAATTTGGAAAATTATTTTTATGTTGGATAGTTTATTTATCGAGGAAGGCTATAGGCTATAAAATGTCGCGGAGAACCTAACGGGTAACCGGGGCTCCGACTCGACGTGCAGGAGAAGGAACGGGGTGGTTTTTAGTCAGTAACAGTCTGACACTCCCTCCCGCCTCACCCAGGCGGGAGCAGTCATTCTATGATTTTCCCCCTTAAAAAAAATAGGCTATAAAATATCACGCTACGACCAATAGGAGCCCAACAGAGCGGACAAAAACGTGAGAGAGTATTTAATCACTACATAGTATAAAACAAAGTCACTATCCGCCGCCTGTCTGTCCCTATGTATGCTTGAATCTTTAGAACTACGCAACGGATTTTGATGCAGTTTCCTTTAATAGATAGAAGGTTTATATGTATGACACCTATGCATATTGCACCCGTGCGAAGCCGGGACGGGTTGCTGTGTAAAATAACACAACTGTTTCAAGTTTAACAAAAGAAATAATTAACTTTGTGTACCAAAACTATGACTAAGCCTAAATCAATAAGTTTGGCGTGAACATTCTTTGTCGGTGCTTCACCTTATGACCTGAAATATAGCCTCCATCTGTCTGTGTACATCTGTGAATCATACTCCTGAACAAAGCCTTGAACAGCTGTGTCAATGATATAAATTTTGTTTTAATTTAAAAGTATTGTAACTATATCATTTGTGGAACGTGTCATAATGTACACTTGAGAGCACAGAGACATAGCGTTTTTTCTTTTTCATACATAAGATCACGCCTTTTATCCCCGAAGGGGTAGACAGAGGTGCACAGTTGTCACTGTTCAATGTATTACCCATTTTTCACTATTTATTTTATGAATCCCATGTAATAGGGGGTGAGCCTATTGCTATATACCGGGCACAATTCCAGACTCCGTGCTACTATATATAATTTTTTTTAAACTCAGTAATACTTTGCCAGACCCGAACCCGAGACCCCTTGCGACCACTCGGCCAACGAGGCAGTTTTTTCTTTTTCATTTCTTTATAAATGTTATCTGATACAAGTATTTTATTAATTGGTAACGTATATTGCATAAAAGACAATTTAGTTGCCTTTAAAATGAGAGCATTTTGTTGAAAAATAGTCAATCTTAAAGAAATGAAAAAATAAGCGCCTCAAAGAGCCATCAGACCAGTACAGATGGGACCCAATAATTTAGGGCTTATGCCGATATGGAGCCGCAGAGGACTTAACGGGTTACCGGGACTCCGGCTCGAAGTGCAGGAGTAGGAACGGGGTGGATTTTAGTCAGCAAGAGTCTGATACTCCCTCTCGCCTCACCCGGGCGGGAGAAGATATTCGATGATTTTCCCTCCTCAAAAAAGTATCGTTATAATGAGATATAGTTATGAAACAACATGCAAAAGAGATGTAAATCTTAAGAATTGGTTTTGCATCAAAAACTATCCTGAGACATTAGGTAGGTTATATTTTTTAAACCTATTATAAATTATTGTGGGACTTCTTAACTGCTTGACTGCCGATATATAAGACACAATAGAAAATGCATTGTGTCTCGCGTAGATCTACGTTCCGGCACACGACGGGTTAAACTGTCAAACACCAAGCGGTCACCGGTGACCGCAACCTATTGTGTCTATAATGACGGTACTCGACGAGTTAATCTAATTGCGTTGTCGCGCATACTGCTCATGATTATGCGCTCTCATTGGGGGTCCAAAATAGACGTCTGTTAAACTGTCAAACACCAAGCGGTCACCGGTGACCGCAACCTATTGTTCTATAATTGTGTCTACAAAACCGGTACTCGACGAGTTAAGGCTGAACCGACGCATGTGTTAAAAATAAAATTGCGTCTTCTAAATAA